TTCAATATCTCAGTGCACGTAGTGAATAAATGAATCCAGAGAAGTCCTTACTTGGATACTTACCAGGGCACTTGGACGGTTCGTGTTCACTGGCACTGCGATTCCCAGAAAAGTTTCCATTCGTTTCTCTCGCTCATGCAGTTGTCGTCTACGATTGTGGTCTATTTCAAACTCAGCGATGAACGCGGAGCCCAGCACGTAAGTTCAAACTCGCTGCCATTTGCGGATGCAGATGGTAGACAATAGCCGCAAACACGTCCTCCCACCATTTGGGTAGTCTTTCAAGAAGGCGCTCACATTCTCTTGAACTCTATTCCACACTTCTTTTCGTCCATCTGTCATCTGTTCTTCTTGGTATGTGATAGATCCATTTATATTTCGCTATCGATGCATATATTTCTGGGTCTTGAAGATGGATAGCTTTTGAAGGTCGGAGCTGCTCAAGCCGGCTAGACGTTGTGAATGAAGTTTAAGTTTTGGAAAACATTGCCTAAGCGCTCTATGAGTGGTGCACCGTCTTCTTGACGGGTTGTGGTATCATCCCAGATCTTTGCTGAATGAACCTCTGGAGGGATTGTCGAATCACAAAGGTGAGCACGGGGTTTGAGATCCACTATCCGGTCGGTGGGTTTTTTGAGGATGTTCGAGCGCGGCGCTATTCTTCTTCTGTCTAGTTCCTCCTCATATTGTTCTCCCTGTTCATTCAACGCCCAAGGTAGGTACACGTACAAGGTGGTTTCCCTAATCAAAGAACCATTCGTTTCGATTTGCTTAACATAGAACCATGGCTACCTCATATGCATACCCAGGTCGGACGCTCACGGTTGAAAGTATGTCAGTCAATGCCAGTTCTGACCAACTTCATTGTTGCTGCTCCAACATTAAGCTAGAACGAAAGTGATGTCGAAGCGTTCTGCATGGACTTAGAAAAGTCATTTAAACATTACCAAGCATTCTTCAAAGTCATTGTTGGAGATTTCAACGCAAAAACTGAGCCAAGAAGAGCGCCTGAAGAACGTCACCTAGGGACTCATGGACAGGATCGGAACGCTTGGGGTTAGAGGCTCTCTGAATCAATCAAGGCGATCAAAACCGTCTACGGTAACTCGCATTCCAAATGCCTCACGAAGTAGACCACAGCATAGTGAATCGAAGCTTTTGCCTAGTCAATGTTTGTGTTGTTTCAAAGTTCTACACGGGATCAGGCCATCGTCTCATGCGCGCGACATTCTATCTTTTGCGGAGAAGGGAGAAAGCCGTTAAATTTGAACAACAAAATTCCAGAACTGTCATAAACTGGGATGTATTCAAATCAATGGTCGGTTCTTGGAAGATTACCGTTGTTGAGAACATCGACGAAAATTACGACCGCCTCATCTTACATATTCACGTTAATGCTCTGAAATCCGACGGTCTTTAAGTCACCACTAAACGTTTGTCTCCCAAACATTCGAGCTGAGACGTCAACGCGGATTCACACAAAATAGAGAAAACCATAGCCTCACATCCGATCTTCAGAAACGCTGCAGAGAAACGATAAAAGATCTTGAACAGGGATAGGCCTCCTCATATGTAAACCCAGATAGGGCACTTACGACTGAAGGAAGTATGTGAATCAACGGCGGCTATGACCATCTTCATTGTTGCGCCGACATTGAACATGAACAAGAATGAAGTTAAAGCGTCCTGCATGGACGTAGAAAAGTCGTTCAAAGATGACGATGCATACTTCCATAACAGACCTTCTGACGCGCCTAAATTATGCTGTCAGTACGCATTAATTTTGATGCGAAATAGTCGAATACAAAGGTATCTACTCAGTGCTGTATATTCACCTGTATTAAAATTGAGTTTGTTATATTAGTCAACAATAGTCTTTCATTTTCTTTACCACACAGTGATTAATCAGGCCATCAAAGAAAAAATCAAAGTAGACTCTGACATGTCAAAACACAAAAAAAAGGATAGATAGTTTTTTTTCTTTCTCACAAAGAAAAACTAAGTTGATCACGAGAGTAAGAAAAAGGACTCGAATACTCGTGAGTAAACGATGGCAAACTTTTATAAGCTTTACACGAATTATTAAAATTTTCTTGAAAATATGCAAAATCGCCCCTTAGGAAAGGATCTATACTGCATTATAAAACATTAATAGGCACAACAACAGAACGATTTATTATCTTACGCCGCTCAATAAATTTTTCTCAATAGTCGATCTGTATCAATTTTGACTTATGTTTAGAATATAAGTGCTTTGCATTATCCAGAAATGCAAGATCCCAATATTCCATGAGAAAAAACTGCAAATTCTTTCCAAGGATAGTGTACTCCTCACCCTTAGATAATTGATTCTGTTGAAAAATCGCAGCGAAGAGGTGACATTGTGCAGGAGATTTTTGAAAGAGCAAGAGATTTGGCCGAAATTGAGGACGGATTGACACAATGGGTAAGTTAGAGGTTCGTCAGCGAGATACAGATAGGACAATCATCGCATATTGCAGCAGCGCTGCTGAGGAAGATGACTCTTCAAACGCCTGAAAAGGTTACAGAAGTAGTGACATCATAATGACATTTACACGTTTGTACTAATTGGGCAAAATATGCGTTTCTGTAGTTTGCATAGTTACGGTATTTTGTGTAATGAAAATGTGTAGCTGTCCCAAAATAACGAGTGATATGAAAAACTCTGTACCTCATGCGGAAGTTAGACCGTCGTTCCATCCATCCAAAAGGTGCTATTTATCCAATGCACCACGGCGAATTTGTTCTGCTTTTTTCCATGATACCACGTATCGGAACTGCTACTATTTGTCATAGGGTTTGGTCTGGTAAGCACATATTGGCAGTGAGCACAGAGAGCTGACAGCTATTGGATATTAGTGGCAGTGTTATGGTGCTATATATAATCAAGAATGGTGAGTGTATGCAAGACTGTAAACCTCACGCGGAACTCCTCCCGTCTTTTACTCATCCCGGTGCGCTTATTAACCACGTCACTATCAGACTTCCGTTCTCCTATCACTTTTCTACCATACAAAGTTTCACAGCTGTCAGCAATCAACTGTCAACGGATTTGATCTGATAAGCACCTATCGACATCAAAACTAGTCCATCTGACAGCTGTCAGATTTATATAATCTAAGAAAACCTCGAAAACTAACTTAATAGTGGCGTTAGGTGTTGCAACATAAATTCCAGTTTTAATATACAAAACATGAAATCCCACACGAGAGTCAAACTCGCCTTTTCTCATTTCTGAGGATGCGTGTTAATCACGGAACTACTTCGGCTCCTGTTCTCCTATCGCTCTTCTGCGGTACATAGATTCATATCTATAGTCCTCGGAGTCGACAGGAAAGGCAAGTACTGTCGGAGGTCACGATAGCTACCGCTTACAAAGAAGCTATTATTAAGGGATTGGGAGAGATTCACATATTACTATTTCACAACAACTTCTCATTTGATTTTCCACCATTTAATATGTAACAGGAAGAGATTTCACATTAACGAAAGTTGCTCAGATGTGGATTTATGCTAGTGAATCTGACGAAAAGAGCACAGAGATGAGGAGTTTATTAGCAGCAAGTACCTTTCACTGTTTTGCACATGTTAAAGCTTAGAATGTGTTCACAGGAAGAGTTTCCTTCGATCAACTCTTCAATGTCGGTTGTTTTCAGCTCATCAAAAGCCGTTAGAAGTTGACCAGTTTTGAGACAAACAGTTGGATAACGTATTAGAAATACGTCGATATCTCCTCCAGAGCAAATAGTTATCACATAGGGCGCGTAGGGCGCAGAAGTCAGAGGTACCCTGTAATACACACGTGCTCGACCGTTCGATCCTGCTCTCAAGGCTCATCAAGGCTGCCATCCTTCCAGGGTTGAAAAATTGGAACCAGACTTGTCTGGGAGGATAGGAGCGCCGACTTCATATATCGTTAGGCCACTGTGCGATTGTAAAGGTCAGATGTGTATTCGTTTACCACAAACGATTCTTGAAAAAGTCGAATGCATCACGCATTGTTCAAGAAATGATCAACTCTTGCTTTGGAACATTTTAGCATTAAGTATCGAATAGATTCAAATTTTATATCTCAAAAATGGTTTCTATCACAAATTATGCTCTAATGGACATTTGTGAAAGTGTTATTGAATTATTTGACGATTAAACTGTGATGATGATTATTTTATTAGCGGAATAGGCTATTAACGACGTATGTTGTAATCAGACCTCTGAAACATATCGACATCATCAAATATGCACTCAGTACCGTCTGATAAACACTCGCCTTCTAAGAAAACAGGTACCTTTGACAAGATATTTCGGAAGATAAAGCCATCCATTGGAAACAGCTACTGATTCTCCTCGGCGAGTGTCGATGTACCGCTAACTCAAGTCAGGATCTTTGCCTTCTGAGTTCATACATCGTTGCCTTTTACCTTCCTACATTTTCTTTGCTGTTATTTCTAGCTTTGCCTTCATCTTTCACTAATTCTTCCTTGAAATGTTGATGTATCAAATTGTCAAAAAGTCAGTGTTAAAGTATACCCAATATGTGGAGTACTGTGCAAAAACGTTCGCGTCAGCCGAGGATTCGAACCCAGATCTCACTCTTTCCGGGAGCATATGCTAACCATTGCACTACCGACGCTCGTTGCGCACAGCACTCTTATTTACGCTATAACGCGTTGTCTGCCAACAGCCAACCGTCGACGGTCTGGCGGGGCAGCCGCTATCGGCATTGAACCCACTTGTATTGACAGACATTGGATATCGATAATCAGTCTAATTTCTTTCTATTTTGACTGCCACTTGCAGTGGTATGATCTCATAGTATACCCAATATGTGGAGTACTGTGTGTCTATGTATGTGTATGCGGACCAATGTCTGTCAACACAAGTGGGTTCAATGCCGATAGCGGCTGCCCCGCCAGACCGTCGACGGTTGGCTGTTGGCAGACAACGCGTTATGGCGTAAATAAGAGCGCTGTGCGCAACGAGCGTTGGTAGTGCAATGGTTAGCATATGCTCCCGGAAAGAGTGAGATCTGGGTTTGAATCCCCGGTGACGCAAACCTTTTTGCACAGTACTCCACATATCGGATATACTATAACATCATACCACTGCAAGTGGCAGTCAAAATAGAAAGAATTTAGACTGTCAGTGTTAATATAAATTTAATAATGTTTCTTTAGATAAATTCGTCCTCTGGAACATGCAAACGCAGTGAGAACTGTGTGAGCGCCTTGTTTGAAAATGTAAACAACCTGTGTTTTGACCTTGACTTTATCACTTTGCTTCCTGCTACTCATTTACACCTCACAATCAAATTAATCATTTGATCATTGTCCATCCTAGTCACTATGTTCAGCCATGTTTCATTGTCACACGGATTCACGCTTTTATCAATGAAATCGTTTATTTTACCTTCAACGGTCAGAAGACCGCTTGCAAAAGTCATACCTTTTTTGTCATTCTAGTACCGCAAAATGCCACATCTTTTTGTGAACTCTAAAGTTTGCTTTTGCAAACTTGATGCCATCCTGAAGTTGCTATTGTCATATTTCGGTTCTTAACATCTTGTTCTTAGTCTAAGACATCCTCAGATAATCCTTCATGGTAGAGTTTTTATCATTTTGCATGATAACACCGGATGTCGCTGGTTTAATTATGGTCCCTGATTGATGTATCAAATTGTCATTTTCTTTGAATGAGACAAATCGTAAAATGTCCCACATATTACGGAGTACACACTAATTTGCGAAATGCGCATGTATCGATGTGTAGGTACTGTCCATGCAAATTTTGTCATTCATACATTTTTCTTTATCATAATTATAATTATAGCATCCTCATAATGTTTAAAGTACGGAATTGAATTTCTCGGAAGTGGTCCGCTTTCTTTTTGATCACCTCGAATGGAAATATGTGTTCTTGAAAGATCTTGTGAAGAGAACTGGGTATGAATATAATTGATCTACACAAGCAACACTAATAAAAGGGAGACAGTTTTGGGTGCTAGAATAGCGGAACATAGTTTTATGTTGAGTGGAGGTTTTTAATTATATTTATGCGACTCTTTATCACAAGTTATGTGAAAACCACCAGAGCCTGTTGCATTCGATTCGTTTCGTTGCATTCATTCTCCACAAAGGTCTCTGAACATTGCGCGTACTGCTTGAGCGACTGTTTGAGAATGTCATCTTTCTCATGAATATCGTGGAGCGTTGATTAAGACGAATCTTTTTACATTTCGAGGTAGGTGGGCCAAAGTTTTGATGGATTGCAATAGCGTTGCTGGGCGGACAGGACCAGCACCTTACTCGTCATCTTGCTTCTTGATTCACCACATCACTAACAACTGCGCTACGCTGTATCCCTCAGGTAGTCTAATGGCTCACTACTAGAAGGAGTCGTACAAAGTCCTTCTCAATCCTCAAGCTGCGTGAAATTCGCGCACAACTCTACGCATTATTCATGCACAATTCATATTCCCTTCTTCTTTCAAACCTTGTCTTATCCTTTAACATAGATTTCCCTTAAATATTTGATCTGCACCTGTGGCTTATTGAAGGATGAAGTGACTGGAAGGCGCGCGTGGTGCATTGCCCGCGCTCATGGCTCACCAAGCGTTTTCTCACCAGGATCCGCGATTTGTTACTAGACTCGTTTGAGGATAGCAGCGCTAATTTGATACATCGGTAGGCTTGACAGTATTTCGAAGGCCAGATGATTTATCTTTATATTATGACATGAGAAATAATAAGTTTATTAAGTCTAGTGACAGCGATGTAAAGGTAAAGTATTAATGGATCAGTCACTCCTACTCCCTTGAACGTGATTATTTGAATCATTTATAGCAAACATTGCATTTGTTAGCTGAACCCCAAACTTGTGCAAATACTCCTGTATTCAAACTGCGTAAGTAGAACATGGAAAGATATGATTTCGAGAATTATACAGTGGAAAAAGAAACAGTAGCAGAGACGGAACAACGAATGGTCTCACACGGAAACACAGATCTCACCTATTACGCGACTAAGAACAGGCAGTTTCATCGGTACATAATGAGCTTTCGAATTTGTAGGATGTTTATAAGTGACGCTTCAATCATACACGGCGGACGCCACCAACTTCTGCAACTACATGTCATCAAATTGAAATCCATTATAATTGTAGACCGACATATTTTCATGACACGAGAATGCAAAGTCCATAATCCAAATAATCCTAGCGTATCCATCTAAGAGCAATCAGTGACACGAAGCAATTTTGAACCCAAGGAAATCTATCACTATACCACCAAGGCTGGCTCCCGCTTTGCTACTACTTTTTCTTCTGTGTGGATGATTGAAGCTCTCAGCTGCCAACCTCTAACCCGTTGGGAGCCGTGAGAGCCATATACGCCCAACGATTGCAACGTGCTCGCTCTGATGAAAATAGAGCAAATGTGTCCATTAAGGTTCATCATCATCAAACTTGTTTAATACCAAGGAAGAAACTTCCCAAGGATAACTTTTGTTTCGAGTGTTTTTGAGGCCCCGCTCGAAACAGTGTGATCTGATTGCATAATTTGAGCCCTTCATGAAATGTGTAATGTACAGGTGAAACATTGAACAGCACAAGACACTTTTTTTCGGCTTACAGCCTCGTCAATTGCACGGTGCTTTTCGCATCAGTCAGTTCCGTGGGGGGATATCCCCAACATAGATGACCCGATGCCGAAATTTTGCAAGCGTTGCAAGGTGAGTGAATCACCCAACGGCAAGTGTTGTACACTCGATTGCTCGTGGCTGGCAAGAACATGACTGTCACATCTTTCGTTTCTAGTGCTTTGGAGACCTCGCTCAAAACAGTATAATCTAATAACATCTTTGAGTCCCTCATAAAGTGTGTTATGGCACCAATACTATATATGTTGCCTAAGTATGTCATCAGATTACATTACTCTAAGCGAGGTTTCAAAAACGCTCTGAACAAAAGGTATGCCAATCGTGTTTTACAGCCTCGAGTAATCGAACAGATAAGACTGGGCTTTGGGTGATATTATCACCTTGCGGCAAATTGTTGGTACGTCCGTTAGAGTTGGGACGCTCTGGCCGCAGCCCAAAGCTGAATGTGAAGGGTGTGAAGGCTGCCACCTTGCTGAAAAGTGGTGTATCTTTCCTTGTATCGTATCGCTCGTCCATCATCGCTAAATGTTTGATTACGAGAAGTGAAACATACTGTCAGACGATGTCACGACTCAGTTCTCGCGACGACATCAAAACTGTTTCAACAAGTTGACAGTATTGAGCGATATCTTCGAGTACCAGTTACAACACCATTTCCTTGGAATGTAGCAATGGATTAGATACAGCACCAACTTTTCTGCGATTTATATCAGAGCACAGAACTTTGAAGACTAAAATACTAACATATCTTCTATGACATAACTACATCCATTGATTCTGAGTAACATGAGAACCTCTGACCTCAGGCAGAAGTTGAGCCCACGTCACCTCACCCATATTAGGAGCTCGTGCTACCGCTACACACACCGGGGCTACCGCTCTGCTGACGTTCTTTCGATAAAAGGTGCCATAACATGAGAAAATTTTATTACTTGAAGAATCATGGCGCGTGAGAAAATGGCGCGACGTCTGTCTATAATTGCAAGAATCATTTTATAGGAAGACCATGGCTGCTGAATAACCTATTGATCCTTTTAGCAATTTAAACAACGCTTTATCACACTTTGCTATGCAGATCTCAGTACATCCAGCAATCTATTCATTGGCTCGTATTCGCCCTCACTCAAAGGGTTTTCTGGATTCCACGCATTACTTTGGCTCTTGCCTGAGGATTCTCCTTCTGTAGCAAACATTGCAATCGCCTATCCTTAAACCTCGCTTAAGAACAATATAATCTGACAATGTATTTCGAGCCTCTCATGAGGTCTGATAAGGGCACCTATGCAGCTCAACATACGTGTTTCGGCCTTACAGCCCGTCATTTTTGCATGGCCCTTTTTCGTTCAGTCAGTTCTTCAGGAATCAATCCCTAAGTGCAATGGACGGCGAACTTTTTTACACCCGACCTACGGTGAAATATTCACGATGATGTTCTTTCAGGATGACAAAGCAGGACGACCGCAACACGTGTCTTGCACCGTAGAAGTGCCCGTAGCAGACCTCATGAAAAGTTCAAAATACATTGCCAGATTAGCTTTTCTTGTGAATGTCGTAGTATGCCGGTAAAAACGATTTTCCTTGCAATCTTATGGATAGTCGGGACAATGTGTTCATTGATCAATCCCAAGAGAGTATTGGAAGAGGAAATTGGGACTGTGTTCGCTTATCATCTTATCTTCTAAAGCTGCATTGCTAATCACTGCGCCACCGTTCCCCACGCCGTCTATTGATTATTGATAAAACTTGAATTGTACAGTTTTGCCATGTGTTTGCCTCACAAAGATTGATTTCATTTTTGACTTAATGCATGCACTTTTTGTCCCGCTTACTGAGCTCTGAATCAGATCAAAGGTCCGGCACAAATGAAGAGAAGAGTGATGAGCCAAAGAAACAGACTGCTGTCCATTAGACAGATGTAAAGAGTTTTATTGATTTGTACTTCTTTAGTAACTTCTAAAATCTACAGTGCTAAACAGTCGAAATTGCAGTACAGTCAGTTCTCAGATAGGGGTAGCGCGACTGTGATAAAGGAGTGCAAGGAAAGTGATTTGATAGCCGATGTGCTGGTATGACATTCTTACCGAACATCCTCCTGCAAGCGATCAAAAAATGCTTGAGGTTTTTTTTGCTCTAGACTACGCGATAAAGGAACAGCTCCCCATGCTGGACATAAACTTCTCATAAGTTTCAATAATCATTTGAAAACCCATATCTGGCTTCTAGAATCATGTAAAAGCTCATATCTGGCTTCTCGCCTTTAGAAAAGGCCTTTTTATCGCGCGGTCTTCCACAAAGAAGGGAGCAGCCGCCGACTGACTTCAGCTAGGAACACTTCGAGTGAAACTTGAAACGATGCTAGATATTTTTTGTGGTACAACACCTTTATCTCGGTCCATTTT